TTTTAGACTTGCTATCAACACTTCTATTTATATACCAGACACCACTGTATATTTCAATGAAACTGCTAAAGGAGAAAGATTCTTCTGTTTTTAAACTGTACAATATTATCTGCTACTTCCAAGTGCTGGAGTATGAATGTGTTTGCTGGTACAGGATATTGCAGCACTTCTGTTTTTATTCAGTATAATGCAGAGCTAGTGAAAAGCCAGAGCCAAGTTCTAACACTTTAAAGAATATTTGCAATCAGTTCCCTACTGGTTTTTATCCAATCTGCCCATCCTGAAAACTGCTTTGCATAAAGGCAATGTTTGCTACAGCTTTCTTCGTAACAAGCAATTCTGTTCCCAGTGCAAACACTGGCTATCTTTTGAATTAATGATAGGTCTCCCCTATCCTGCCCGGAGTACTACTATAATGGTTGTTTTTTAAAGCAAAGAAACAACAACAACCTTTCTTTAAATACCGACAATAAAAAGCAACAATACAGGGAAAAGTAAAAATAATAAAGGTGCAATACTTTATAAACAAAAGAAGTCTTTGCCAGTCATATGCCTGCCTAAGCAAACCCTAAGCATGGCATACATGGAAAAATACAGAGGAAAAAAATGCTCAAAGTACACACTGGTTTAAGAACATTCTTAAGTAAACGTTTCTGTCAGTGATGATCTGGTGCTGTAATACACCTAGGCCTGGCACAGGTAACACAATGGGGAAAGAGAACAAAAGTTGCTGCATGTGCTTTCAATAGGTGACAGGCCAGCAAACTACTGACGTTTTAATTTTGTCGTAACAGTAGATCGAGAAAATATAATTTGGCCTGAATTATTGGTGGACTTTCCATGAATGGATAAGAATCTTCATATAGACTTCAGAATTCAATTCTGTAGGATTGCAGAAGCTTCAACCATTGTACAGGTCTTTGTCACAAACAAATGTTATGGCTTCTTCCTTCTGGTAAGTCCCCAGAAGAAGAAAACTCGTCATAAAAAATAAGCTTGGGTTCAGTCAACATCTCTTATTAAAGACAAATACACTTCTAGGCAAAACAGGATTCTACCTTCTCCTCTCCTTCCTTCTCCCTTCCCAGAAAGCCTAAAATTACACACTGGCATCTCGCTCACCAAATCCTTAGGATATGGCAGTGTTTTGCTTCATAACAGGGTCAGAACACAATTTGTAGTGCACTAAATACCCTGCTAAAATACCACTGACAAAAAGATTTGAAACACAGGTCAATTTGATTTTTGCAACAGGCACCATCATTATTCAGTTTAAGAGTCTAGTCAGATAGGTTGCTGACCAACAACAATGCAGCTTTTCAAGACAGAAATGTGCGCGCGCACACACACACACACAATCATGCAGACATACACACTCACACAGATACACACACGCAGGCAGTTACATGTGCCAGAACATACTGGTATATATCAACCAGCCAATCACAAAGTGTTTTTTTTCCTTTTTTGTTTTTTAAAGTGAGGCTCCGTCAAGTCTTTCCCTCCCAACCCACCCCAATTCTTCTGAACCCCACCCCCAACATAGTAGACCTAAGGACGGAAACACACCCAGTGCAAACAAAGTTAAAAAGCTATTTTTCAGTATATATGTTTCTTAGCAACAACTTCCGTATAACATGAAAAAGTGAAAAACTAGAAACTAATTTTTTTAATTTTTTGTGTTTAGATTTAAATGGTATGTGTACTTGCTTCACATTGTCTTTCTAAGTTGGCGTTCATGATTCAAGTATTTCAAGAGTGATATGTTCTCTTTTTGGATTCATATTCCAAACGAAAAAACTGAAGTTGTAAGGGAGGCAACTATGTGCTCAGACGGTCCTGTCAATGACCCACCTTTTTTCTCTCTCCATTTTCTTTTTTCCTTTTAAAATGTATTTATTGCAAGTTGAAAAAAAAGAAAAGGTCAAGTTAGTGCTGCTGCTGTTCCAAAAAGGTCACGAGGTCAGAGTTGAAAGTTTTAAGTTCAGATTGAATCCGACCCTCCGCCTAGAAGGTCTCCAGGTAGTAAGGGAGCAGGGCTTCCCATTCTGTGGGGATCTTCTACGCTTTGAACCCCCCATAAACTTGAAGAATAATTCGGAGGCCCCCATAATGAAGCACCAGCAAGGTCACCCCCACCGCTGCCACCACCACTGTTGCTCCACTGCCCAAGCCCTGTTGACCCACCAAAAAGATTCAAAGCAGGTCCAACTGGATCTGTCTGATTCTGTCCTGCCTCAAGAGACTGCCAGCCTGCTGTGGGTGCACTGGGGGTTGCTGCAGGAGTAGGAGGCTGAGCTTGTGCCAGAAAGCGACTAACTTCCTCGTCTGTTGCAAACTCAGCCAGGATGGTAGTGTTTCCCAAAACACACCTATGGAAAACAAAAACAAAACAAAAGCCAAAGTGATAGAGTGAAGAGAAACAAACAAAAAGAGTTCAAATGTCTAAAAATTTTGAACACTGCTTGGAAAAAGAAAACCAACCACTCTCATTTAAGTCCATAGGGATAAGCAATATGAATGGCTGGAGTGTTCACAAAGTGCCCTCTCCTATCTTTGTTTTAATCACTTTCTCAAAGCTCCTCTTTCCTCTAAAGAAAAAATAGTTCTTTAAATAAAAATAATTACCTAGACCCACAGTTCCCAAACTGGGTTCCATGGCACCTTGGGACACCACAATGAACTCACAGGGGGTGGAGGTGATAGGATATATTACATTTTCAATGGAAACACAGCAATACTCAAGCTCTGGTGTTTCTGTTAAGTGCTTAGTTCCCAAACTGTGCACTGTAGTGCCCCAGGTGCCACGGCACACGGTTTGGGAACTGTGAGGTGCCACAAAAACTTACTGAGACACTAAAGGCACTGTGAGATGAGAAAGTTTGGGAGCCTCTGACATAGACTGCTATGCTTCTGGAGCAAAGCTCTTCTACCTTACTTTTTACTTCAGGTCCTTAAATCCAGAAAAGATACTTCAGCAAATAAAGGTGTCTTTTGGAATGTGGTGCAATATTGGGGGCAGTAGTTGGGATGTCAGTGGAATAGCCAGCCTCCACATGTAAAAATGGAAATATTCTTTCACTCATATAGTGTATATTTTGATCAGAACATGATTTTTCACTGACCATTAACAAAGACACACCTACAATGGTAACTGTTCACAGGACTAGGATGGGGTAGGATTAAGGAGCCATGAAGTTAACGAATATACAGATTATTTTAAGCTGCCAAGTCCACATTGACTCTACAGTATATTCAGAAGTCATAACAAGTCACAATTTGTTATGACAATAATGCACCTCACACATCTTAGGTTTGTAAGTTATCCCCCTCCTTTATGCAAAAAAGGGAGATTTTAAACTTTCAATGATGCTTTGGAAAAATCTAGTTTTCCATTTGTCTGACATAGCTGTCCTGGTTTCTTACATAACAGTATATCAAAGTATATTATGCTTTCTTAATTTTGCTTTATACAAGCCACAGTTTCTTATATTCATATACATGAGAAACAACACTTATGGAAATATAATTGGAGATAAGCAAGTGACTATCTTATACAGATTTAAAATCTTTGGCAATTCCTGTTAATTTCAAACTACTTTAATGTTAATTAAAATTTAACTGAAAAGATTTCAAAACTAGTGTAGAAGATGCTAATTCAGCTTTTAAAAAGACTTACATCATTAGCAGGAAGATTTTTTGTTTGCTTTTTCAGTAACTATCAACTACTAGAAGGTCATAAAATGGACTTTGTCTAGAGTACAGAATAGTTCACTCAGATAACAAAATAGCTCCCTACTTTTCTTCAAAATATTGTGTAAAAAATATAGTTTTATTCAACCAGACCAAAGGTGTATCTAGTTCAATATCCTTTTTCCTAAAGAAGCTAGGTAAGCATCTTTTGATAAGTCCACAAGCAAAGTACAATAATATTCCTCGTTCTATTGAGTCCATTACCTTATTCAGATGTACTGAAATTCCAGAAAAAGCATGAAGAGATTTACTGTTCATTAAGTTATCCAATTCCCTGTATAAACCATCTAAGCCAGTAATTATCACCACCATCATGCAGTAACAAATGTATAACTTCATTAGAAGTGTGTAACATACAGGGAGTCCCCGGGTTAAGAATGCCTGGTTTACAGATGACCCATAGTTAAGAATGGAGACTACTGTAGCAACATTCGAGTTAAATACACAGTTATTTAAGTTAAATACACAATGGTTCAAGTTAATTACACAATACTACTTATACAGTATTATACAATAATACTGTTCCGGCTTACATACAAATTTGACTTAAGGACAGATCTTGGGAACAGAACTTGTTTTTAAACTGGGGACTACCTGTACCCTCTTTTATCTGTTGTCAGGTTTATGACAACCATTTAAAAGTAACGCTATTCTAGTTTTGGTCACAGGATTCCGAATGCAATAATATTAATCATTTATGAAAAAGGTTAATAATGTAAATCCTAATTCATAATTCTTAGTGACTTTTGAACATTCTGCTACTTTTCTATATGGAAACTGCAACTGTGATGAAAATAGCAATATATCATCCTTTCAGGGAAAACCTACCGCATTAATTTCAATTTGCAACTAATTCAAGTAAAACTTTGGTACCATGAATGGCAATTAAAATCTCAGTGTTGCTTATTTTCCAAGTTTTAAACAGGTTACCTTGAAAGAATGATTAATGCTTTTGTGGAGCAATACACTTTATCAAGAAGGAAGCTAAATATTAACTTGCAAATGGATTTGACCCATCTCTCTTGTCTACACTCAACTGTTAAAAGCAAATTTTACTCAAGTATGCATAGCATACCTACACCATCTCTATTCCAAGAAAAGCATAAAAATAATAGTTTTCAAAAAGAAAACTCTTCTGCAATTGTCAGTCCTATCTGAACAATGCATAAATGAAACAAATGAGCCACAAATTGTATCTATTAACAACAAAAAAAAAGTCTATGAATGTTTGTAGGTTGTTGCAAAACTCACATGTGCAGTGCAGTCTGGGCCTTAGCTGCCTCCTGCTTGGTGCTGTATCGGATAAGGGCGGTACCTTGGGTCAGGTTAAGATGGAATGTCAGCAATGGACCATGCTGCATGCAGATGGTCCTTAAAGTTGACCCATCAATCTTAAAAAGAACAGCAAAGACAGGTTAGTAAAATAAAGGGCCTGAGTTTTTTCATCATTTAAACTTACTTGAAACAACATACAGAACGAAAAGCAATCAGACAGAATATTATATAGGTAGTCCTTGGGTTACAATGGCAATTGGGACCAGAATTTCTGTCACTAAGTGGCTGTTCATGTACTCTAAATACATACAAGGAAGGAATCTGTATGCTTGCAGGAACCCCAAGGTACAAAAGTACAAAAAGTCCTCAAAAATAGTACAAAAAGTAACTTTATGAGAAGAGTTTCCTTAGCAGTCACAGAATTCTGGCTAAGTGCAAGGGGGTGGATGAAGTCTCATGGGGATGGGAAAATTGAATTTGTTCAATTTCTTCTTTAACTAAATTTTATGTAGCCTTAAGTTTTACTCAAATTACCACGTCCACAGTCTCTTTAGTTTCTGCACTTTGGATTTTTTTAACACCCGAACAACTTATTTATTTATTTTATACTATTTCATACATTAGAATTTAAGTCCATAATGCACAGATCCCATTGTAAGAATTATTTCTCTCATAGTGAAGCCTGGAAAACTCCATACCTATCTGTAATCAAGAATGCTATCAGCTCTAATTCTAGTTCCAGCTTCATGCTGGATGGGGATGACTGGATTTGTAGTACATTTATAAGGTTTTATGCGGGAACATAATCTATGGTGCAAGTTTCTAATTCCCACTCCCATTCAGAAACATCTTCACTCATTAGTGGAAATACAATATTTGGCATCCACGCTGATCTTTAGTTTTTATTATAGAGGCAGAATATTGGCCATAATATTTACTCTAGTAAGAGAAAATAGTCTGAAGCCTCCCACGTTTGAAAAGGAACCATTCTAAGGGGATGCTACTGCACCCCCAGAAAAAGCGATAGCCACTCTGCATTCAGTTTGCAACTAATAACATTTCTTTTCTGCCATTCTTGGCTTTGATCAGAGAGATAGAAAGCATCAAGAGTTTTCTTTAAAAAGGCAGCTGCAGGAGATGCATTACACCTGACACACTAACTCCCTGCCAACCTATTCTCTTTCATAAGAAACTTCACTGCAACTGGTTCCTAAAAGTTATGGAAAGCCTATTGTGAGAAAAAGAATTAGACAACCATTATATTTTCATATAGCTAGCTTGTCCCTAATTATTTAACAAATAATTACACTAGAGTTCTTCTTGTTACAGACACTGTTAGAGTAGTCATTCATGCCTCAGAAGAATTTTCCTCTCACCTGAATCAAATCACCCCTCACCTCTTTGCCTCCCTCTCCTCAAACAGAAACCGGCAGTTCGGGAGGTGCATTCTCTTACTCTGATTAAAGAGAAGGTATTTTGAAAGTCCCAGGTTTGGTTGTTGGGGGGTCATTTTAATTGTGACTGGTTGGTATTGTCTAAGTATAAGGATATGATAAAGAGTTGAAATCAGGGATATACAGGGAATTATTCTAACAGAAGAACAAAGACTTTTTGGCAGCTGTACTAGAAATAGTCTGTAGTCTCACTATGGAAACAAGAAGGAAGAAACTGGCAGTTATACCTGGTTTGACAATGTCCCCTAACAGCTGGAAATACAGTGATAAATCTGACATTTTGTGTTCTCATAAACCATTCACTAAGCTAAACCATATATGTGACACTTAAGAATAGATACTTCAGTTTTTAAGTATCACTGTCATGTTGAAATAAGTTCAGGGCAATGGCATTTTAAAAAGCACAATACATTATTGTCCAAGATTTAGTAAGAAAAAGGACAAAGGTGGAAATACCTGTGGAGTGAGATTGTGAAGAACCAGCCAGTAGCTGGGACGTACAGAACCACCATCACTCCAAGTAGAGGCTGCAAATAATTAAAACAGCAAGCATTTGTATTCACTTTAATTTATGATTCAGAAACAAAATAAATTCTGTCCTTTATAGGAACTATTTAATTTGCCATAGTAAACAAGAAAGACTAGTTGCTTATCTGCAATTGTTCAAGTGGTCATCTGCAGAGAATTCAGCTGTCAGATCAATATTAAGAACATTTTACTGTTAGCTGAAAAGGTTTGTTTCTTTTTTTTGGTGGCAAGCCCATCAGTAACACCCAATATTTATATTCAAAGGAACAGGGCTCCTTGATCCTTTCTTCCTGCTCTGTTCTTAACAGATCACTGCAGCAGCTATTTATGCTAGAGCCAAGAGCAATGCACAAACAGTATCTGCAGTGTGAAAGGAAGGTGGATGGTTAGACACACGTGAGCATTCCACTAAAGGTATGGAAACAGGTTTTCTTTACTTTCTGTATTTTTTTCTTTAAAAAAGCTTTTATCTTACAGCAAAAGATAATCAGGTCATCTGATATGGGGTTGGCTAGCCCCCTAGAGGCCTGGTGTTGCTTCCATCGGCCTCCTGGATTTTTCCTCTTCCTTCTACTCTGTGTAAATGTGTTTTTTTATAC